TGCGCGTGTGCGCGCGCACACACGCGCTCTCTGATATATATTCTGATTAAGGATACTCTCAACCGTTTGCACGGGTATTGCTCTAATGAAGAGTAAACGTTTATTGACGAATCAATCGAATCAATCACTTGTTTTATTTATAGAGGAGATATATCTCTATGCTCAAGCCAAAAAATTTCATGAAATTTCCAGCACCTAATTATGTTACCACACAAATTTTGAATTTTTATGTAAAAATGGTATTTGGGATATTTCTCAATTACCAGAAAGAGTGAGGATACAAAATTTTCGCCACATGTTAAGCACAATATGTACCAAAATAGCGCATCAGGATTCTTCTTTAAGTTTCATATTTACTGAGAAAAATAATAAAAAAACTGCCTAAAATTCAAGTCGCACGTTTGAATTAAAAAATTTTGCGAATAAAGAGACATAACTCATAAAATACGGCACTTAATAACAATCCCTGACGCGCTTTTTTACAGCAATATGTTACCATTAAAACGAGTGGAAAATTAAATTATTCTGAGTTGTGATCACAGAGAAATATCCATTTATACATCGACTACTAAGTCAGAAATTGGAACGGAGAAATCAGCGTTTTTCTGACGTCAGCCGCGGCTCACTACACATGTACGCGGGCAAGCAAAACGCTCTGACAGTTCACATGTACCGTTATATGGATAAATGAGCATGTACACAGGTGGAGCCATCGAATAAAGTTGAAAATTAAAAATCCATAAAAATTTTCCTAAAACCTGGAGAGTATCCTATGTAAACAAACCAGGTTTACTAACCTGAGTAACAGCTATAGGTCAATGTACTAGATTCTACAGCAGCAACAAGATTGACAGCTGCCTAATTCCTTATAGCCTAAGGCCACCTCATGAACAATGTAAACTAGCTTTTATGCCCAAGTTGAAAACATGTTTATGGTAGCCATGAAGTCAATACTATCTTCAATTTGTTGGTCTAACAATGTCTATAATATAGTATCTTACATACTCTAAGCCTAAATATTGCTAGATCAAACACTGATACCTCCTTGAAACTGCATGGTGTCTGGACTATAGAGGTTTGATTGCACTATACATGTTGGCATGAATGGTGTGTCTATGTTATTTGCAGTGTGCTGCTAACACATGTGCACTGGTGTATGCTAGACTAACTACTACACACGTGTTAAGTGTCCCCCACAGAGGTACTATTTCCCTTGATTAGTACCTCAGTGGTTGTTCCCACAGCCATTTCTATTTCCTCTACCACAGCTGGCTTTGTACCCATTAACAGGTATGTGCCAGGCAGCCGTAGAGCTGGCACCTGTCAGCCTTCTGCCACAAAGGAGTTAGCAGCTGCCTATCACCATGGAAACTACAAGCTACCACATGTTAGCTTAATTAAAAATTAAAGAGCTAACTAGGTACAAGGCATTTACTGGCAACCTTATAATATGCATAAGCGCAGACCTTTGTGAATAATTATTTTCTGATCTATTGAATAGAATTTGGAAAAGTCCTTGTTATACAGCATGATTTCGACCACATGGATAGTAAGTATAAACAAATTACTAACAGTGCAGAATATCCACAATTGTTCTTTGGACACCTATGAGCCTATCACTACTATTAACGTGCAACCTGGAGCAATAGAAGATTGTAACATGTCAGAAATTTGAATGACAATAATAAAAAATAATCAGTTGGCAAAATGAAATCATTCAAAGGCACTATACAGAATACCATGAATAAACAATTAAGGAGTATCATACCTCAGATATATCAGTGATGAGGTTATATGATATGTCCAATTCCCTAACACCGCGGCAGAGCTTTGTGATCTCTTGTATGCTCCCTGCTTCACTAATGCCCTGGTTGTCCATCACAACAACAGGTGGAATTAACACCTCTCCATCCTCTGTGATTGCCAAAGAAATAACACTAAATTTACAAGCAGCCTCTGCCTGCAGGAAACGAGATGAACGCATACAGTGTCAACATATACTTGTCTTCTCTCTACAATTGTATGCAGGCCTGTTGGGAGACTAACCAGAAGCCACAAAGTCTGCACGGATATTACATTCTCAAAGGAAATGTTATTAGCAGGCCCTCTTATATTGCATTACAGGATGACTAACAAGGGTCTGCGTTTCTTGCTATCTAGTTTTAATTAATCTTGTAATGTCTCATAATTATTCAGTGTATATACAATGCAGCAGTATACGTACCCTTCGCTGGTTCTATTACAACAACACAGTTGGTGTTTATTTAAACACCATGACGATATTTAGAAGATATTTTCGATAATGACATGCACTTCAAAATATTTACACATTTCTAATCAACATTATCAACAAAATAATACCTCGTTTGCCAGGAGAACCAGAAATGAAAATCTTGCAGACAGATTCATCATGATTCAAACTATTCATTGCCTGGAACTTTTCTAGCATTGCTTTAATCAGGGATCTCCCTGATCCCATACTAGGAACGTTTTCAGCATCCATTCTTTGTTACGAAGCTGATGTATGATATAAATGTCTGTAACATATGAAGAAAAATTCTTGTATGTTATCACACAAAATAGCTCGAGCCATCTGGCACACCACATAATTATCACACTATTTGCAGAACTTTGCTAAACATGCACCTAAATATTTCCATAGTCGTTAACATGACTCTACAGCAATTCTACAAAGCCATGGTTGTAACTTGTAGAACTATCTCGCCAGTAACACGCTCACAACATAAGTAACGGCAGTACTAGTGGCAGTACATTATTACTTCATACTAAAAAAATAACCACGTAGCATGTAGGTCAAGAATAGATGACGAATTTACCATGTTGTATTCGCGTTAGGTTGCAATTTACTTTCGCCTCGCATCCAGCACGTGAGTCAAACCAAGGTCAGTTCACGCATGCACGCATACAGCGATGAACAGCTACAGCTGATCACCAATGCAACCAAGCAGAAACCCGCATCAGATAGCAGCAGATGCGAATGACGTTTTGCCATTTTACTCATGCAGTTTTTCATTATTTACAACATATAGAAACTTTAATAATCAAAGTATGCTTAATCTATAGTATATGTAGATTACTAATATACTGCACAGTATTACGTGATTCGCTTCAGAAGTTACGAACATAGAGGTTACCTTTGACATCCAGACAATGAAATTCTCCCATGCCAAGTCCTGTTTATGTTTGTAAACATAAACGGTGCTGCCGCCTGTGGCCCGAGAGAGGGCGCATTTATCGTTTAAATGGTGGCGGTGAAACCGCTTTTACAAATCTTGAACTTCAACTTCAAGTCCCCAATTGATATTTTCCACGACTACCCTCTTTTCTGTCTTCTTAGAGAAAATGGGAGATAGCGATAAGGACAAAAGAACAATTTGGTGTGGAAACTTAGCCAAAGATGTCACAGAAGAGCTTCTGTTTGAGCTGTTTCTCCAGGTATACCAATTTCCAATCGTCTCAGACTGGCTCTGCGACCACACTCCACAGGCACTTGAAGCGTTTCAACTGTAAACACACGCCGCCGCCATTGCGCGCACACTGACACATAAATATATAGCAGGTAAGAAAGCCGCTGCGCAAGGAATCGCTCGCACGCTCGCTTGATTACACACGATTACAACACGAAATACTCAACTTACGACTCCATCTTTGCTGCTACATTGAATGACAGTGTTCACTTGTTGTAGAAATATTAATGTCTCACTTCGAAACAGAGCTGCTGCCACGCAAAATCACGAATTAAATCATGAAATTCTCGCTGATTGCTAGCACTCGCTCGCGCGCGATTGCTAACAACCTTAAAGTACATGGTGGGAAGGCCGGCGCAGTTGCAGTTTGGGTAACACAACGTTGCTTTCCGCCTCCCATGTGTCTGCTTTCCCGTCAAAGCCGCCAGGGGGGGCGTTGCTATAGATACCATAGACGGGACCAACTTTCGTTACCTCTGCACGTTTTCAAGACAGTACATCGGAGTGTACAGTCTGATAGTTGGAGCATGGAGCGAGTCGAGTCGCCAACGCGGTCGCCGGAGGCATGCCTGTTCAAAAATGACGTCACGAATACGGCCGGTAGGGGATCTCCAGATCCCGAAGTTGTTACAACTCCTGCGCGGCAGTGCTAGCAATCGCCGAGAATTCCATGATTTAATTCGTGATTTTGCGTGGGCACAGCTCTGTTTCGAAGTGAGACATAATATTTCTACAACAAGTGAACCACTGTACTTCAATTAGCAGCAAAGATGGAGTCGTCAAGGTTGAGTATTTCTGTTGTAATCGTGTGTAATCAAGCGAGCGTGCGATCGAATTCCTGGCGCACGCTTTCTTACCTGCTATATATTTTATGTGTCAGTGTGCGCGCAATGGCGGGCGGGCGTGTGTTTACAGTTGAAACGCTTCAAGTGCCTGTGTCTGCGACTTGGATCAATGCCACAATACAATGTTAATGCCAATGATTTCTCCGAGAGAAAACGAAGAATACATTTAACATATAATATATAATATATATATATATATATATATATATATTATATATATTATATATATATATATATTATATATTATATATATATATATATAGTGTGTTTTGTCTATTTGCCGTTACAATGCTTCAATTGCTTGTTTATTTTCTTTGGCTTTGCCTCGTCAAATTTATAATGTTGTATAGGGGCCTACACAGCGGCCAGTGCCAACCACGGGCCCAAGGATAGAGAACATGGGTCCAATAAAACCAATGTGCCTAACCCTAACCCTAATTCTAACCCTAACCCTAATCCTAACCCTAACCATAACCCTAACCTATTAATATTATATTCAGGGTTTCTCCCAGGATGAAATTCAAACAGGGGGGAGGGGAGGGGCGTCCGGGGGCGTGTTTTTTTACCGCTACCACTAATTAATGCGTAGAATCGTCACCACACCATAGACGGTATTTGGGGTTCTTTGTATATATATAAGATAGCCGAGTCGTTGTGGGTGTGGGACAGGTTGACTGTTGTACTTGTGTATTGTCTCCAGTGCGATGCGTGGCACGGTAAAAATACACGCGCAGGGTGTCCTGGTCGAATGGGAATTCTTGACGATCGATTCCCTCGCTGGCAAACTTTTATTGTGGTGGAAGTTAATCGGGGCGGAGGTAATTTAAACGGGGCGCAACGATTGAAACAGGGGGGAGTTTTTCCAAACGGGGCGCGCGCGCCCCGTTTGCTCAATGTAGGGAGAACCCTGATATTGATATAATATTATATTTATATTGATGTAAATGACATTGGTTTTATTGGGACCCATGTTCTCTATCCTTGAACCCAACCGCGGGCAATTCTAATATAGTAATAACAAAGCTGGAATAATATAACATAAAGTTCAAACTTAATACAAAGCAAATAAAACATCATAAGATAATTATTGTATATGGCATGTAGTCATTCAACAGTTTATACATATATAGATGCACAAGATTTTCTCAATGATTGGTGCCGGGCTATGAATAGACCTGTGTTAATCTTAAATCCGGTCAGGCTGAGTACAACCTAACGTCCACGTTTATTCACCAGGCAGGCCCACTGGAATCGGTTCGCATTCCGAAAGACAAAGAGAGCGGACAAAACCGGCCGTTTGGCTTCGTCACCTTCAGAGATGACGTGTCGGTGCCGTACACGCTCGATCTCTTCAGCGGCATCTCGCTTGAGGGAAGGATGCTGAGGTTGCAGAGTCGCGGCGGGGGCGGACAGCAGAGCGGGAGTAACTCCCCGATCTGTGGCCAACCGCAGCGAAACGACATCCGCCTGCCTTATCGCGACGACGATCACGGCGGCCAAGGGTTACATCGTTCGTCCTCCTGCCCTGCCGATCTCGTCGGCAGCTTGCTGGGGAACTATCCCGGCCAGTACGCCAGTCAGTTTGTCGAGCGCAACGTGCAAACCCAGCAACAGTTGCAGCGCCACGACTCGAGTCAGCGCGGTCAGGATCCCCACTGGCGGCATCCGGACGATCGCGCAAGCTCGCGCAACGGCGGCTCGGCGAGCGCGCGAAGTTCGGCGTCCAGACAAGGGAACGTGCACAATCAAGACGGCGGCGGTCGCAATCCCGGCGGTTATCACGGTCGCCGGGCGGAGGACGACGTCATCACCCAGCAGAGGGCGATGCTGGAAACGTTGACGCAGCAGTTGAGAGAGACTCCGGCAGCCATGATTCAGGATCGCAGGAGAGCGCCGAACGATGGTGGCCGACAACAGACCGGTCGCAGCCACGGCCATTATGGACACAATAATGAAGGGCAGCAATATAGCAGTCGGGAGGGCGGCCATCATAGCAGAACGGGAGGAAGACACTATGGGGATAGGCGGGAAGAACGACCATATAGTAGGGAGCAAAGGGGAGATCTAACGCAGTCCAATCAGTACAAGTAGTGGTGTGCCGTCTGTTTTCTAGGGTAATTCGATGTTTAGCCAACATTGCTGCCACATCGCTAGATATATGTACATCACTCGCAAAATTTCGGAGAGGCGGTTGTTGAGAACGGGCCTCTTATTTATAAGTCTAATTAAATTTCACGCAAAACGTTTTATTACATTTAAATGTCAAAAATATATTTTATATTGTTCTATAGTTGATCTGTATGTGTCTTAAAATTGCATTCTGTTAACACAGTAACATGATTGCAGTTTTACTTTTAAACAGTTTACTTTGTGTTTGTCAATGTAAATATAGCCTCGTTTGAGCTCGTCAAGTAATCGGATGCAACTTGAATAATGATAAGCAGTGTCTAGATTACTACATAAATGGGTTTACTTGTGGCTTTTACTGAAGTGTCAGTGAGGACCGCCATCTGTGGGGAGAAACTACACTCAAAGATGCAAATTTTCAGATTTTTGAAATCAGTCTGTAGCCAGCAAGGAACGTTGTTTTAACTCTCTAAACATTTTATTAGTTTATTGGGAAAACAATTTCCTTCCAAATGATATATGACTAGCTGTTCGATGACAGTACAGGAGCTATAGTTTTGATTTCTAACTCATGATATCACATGAAAGTACCAGTGTATTTTGAATAATAGGGTCATAATGCAAAAAATCCTTATTTTGAATTAAAAGGTAAGGGGCAAATAAAAATTTCTTAATTTTGTAAGAAACAGTAGAATGGTCTGGGCGAAAATCTAGTTTTTACCAACACCTAATAATGCATGTATTATTAGCTCTGGTATTTATTACACTATTGAAAAACACATTGTTGGGAATTCAGAAGGTAAAGTAATACTAGCAACACTACATTGTTGGTCTATGTACAGCTGTGTACTGTTGTCTATTGTTCTTTTTTAATACAAGCAAACAGTTGAAAGTTTAATGCTGCTCTACATGATCAATTACTTTGTAAATGGTGTGCACATATACATCTTCACGAAGTGATATGAGTAGTGAACAAGGAATCTTCCAGGAAATCCTCTTGTTAATGTTCAGGGATGTATGTGAGGTTAGGCCAAAACAAAATATATGTGTGGTTATCGTTACATGCCGAAAAAAAATAGGGTAGGTAGGTAGGGAAAACATTTTATTTTCTTGAAATATTTTATTTACGAACCATGTCCGAAGGATGTGCGTTGTGCCTTTTTAAGCAGGAACTGTCCAATTCTTTTTTTTCTTTTTTTCTTTATTTTACTTTAAAGAAAATTGACAATAAAATGTTTAGGGTTGCTGGGAATAAATAGGGTCGGTCGGGAAACCGTAACCACACCTATATTTTGTTTTGGCCTTATGGCACAACGATGTGAGTGGCAAGTTCTGACATTGATATGGTTTTAGTTGACAATCTTATTGATTATGTTGACCAATTTTAGCAATGCAAAAACGCTAACCTTGCTGTAAAATACAGAAGTGAATCAAATATGAATCGCTGTCAACTGCCCAATGACACGTATTAATGTTGTTTACCTTTGTACATTTTTATAACAATTAGATGCTTAATGGTTGAAAGTAAGAAAAAAGATGCACGACTGAGTGCTGACTAAGTGTGCTCTATTTTTTGTAAAAATTTATTATTATTATGATTATGATTACAATTAAGGATATGATCAATATAGAAAAATTTAACACCCACTTTTTATTGTCGACAAAAAGACAGTACTCACACCGAAATAAAGCTGTGCCTTTTGCAATCACTGGTATTTTTCAGTTCGGACACATCTACCCATACATTGTTAATGCCACCCTCCTAATGCCAGAAACTTGTGCTTGACAAATTACGATGTGACCAGTTATGCTGAAATTTCATTGTTTAAACAACAAGACATGCCAAATATGTCTAGGTATTGGCCTAACGAATCAACTAGGCTAAACACGTGCTCAGATTTAGTACAGCCGACACCTATGGAAATTGGCAAGCAGTATTCAACACCTCACCAAAAACAACTATTCCCAGAAAGGAGACATGACAGACCATTGAATCTCTTCTCTCTCCTTGCAGTTACTCCTAAACAAAATGTACACTGACGCGCAAGACGACGACGTGCAGTGCTAGTTGCCTCGGTTGTCCAGGTCTTTGACTTTGTAGATGCGCACCAGCCAATGCTCTGTGGTGTAAGCCTCCTCGAGGACGTCCAACTCGAAGTCCTTGTTGCCGATCTCAACGTTGCGTACGCGGTCGTAGCCCGTCGGCTTGCCCTGCTCCGTGTAGACCGAGCCGAAGCGGTAGTAGCACATCTTGTACATCAGGCAGTTGAGCAGCGTCGGTGATCCCTCGCGATCGATGCGGAACTCGCCGGCGGGCGTGTAGTAGTCGTGCTCTTTGATGTGTGCGCCACGGTCCGTGCTGCCGCCAATGCGCACCATCCAGAGGAACTTGTTGATGTCGTCGGACGAGTAGCCGGTGAGGCCGCCGAAGATCACGAGGACGTAGTCGACGTCAAGCTCGCGCATTATCTCGTACGCCTTGTCCTCGGGCGACGCCATCGCCTGGCCGACGCGCGAGATGTGCGTGTTGTTCCACGTGTTGTTGTCGACGAGTATTGTCCGATTCGCCATCGCCGTTATCTGGTAGCCGTAGTCCCACCACGACATCACCTTCGCGTCCTCGGGCGTGTTGTGGCGCAGCCAGTAGTACGCCTCGCGGAAGTCGTCGAAGATGATGCGGCCGCCGTCGCCGGCGCGCGCCGCCAGCACGATGCTCGGCGACGAGTACGCCTCCGACGTCACCCACGTGCAGTGGAACGTGTACGTCACGAGGAAGAAGCTGACGAGCAGGATGACGCCCCACGCGACCTCGTTCTTGAACGTGTACGTGTGGTCGACGGCCTTCTTGCGGCCGGCGACCGAGCGCGGCCGCTGCGCGGCTCCGACTGCATCGATGTTGCCGAAGTAGGTGCCGAGCGTCGCCGAGACGGCGATGCCCGAGAGGATGCACATGACGGGCGCGAGCACGAGCATCAGCCGCACCATGACGCCGGCAAAGTAGATGCTCGTCACGCCGTAGATGATGATGAAGATGTTCGCGTCGGTGAGCTTCGTGAAGCAGAAGTAGAGGCCGGCCGGGAAAAGAAAGACGAGCATCTGCAGGTCGAAGTAGAACGAGCTCCACGTCGTCGGCTGGTGCTCGGAGACGGACGCGATGATCGGGATGTTGTTCTTCGCGTACGACGGGTCGAGCAGCGAGTAGAAGCGGCCCGTCCACGGCGCCACCTTGCCGCTCGCCGCCAGTACGCCACCGACAACCGCCGCCGCGACCGCCGTCGCCGTGAGTAGCGCGCGGAAGAGCAGCGCGAAGCTGTCGGTGCCGACGCGCGCGCGCACATAGTCGACGAACGCGTGCAGCTGGCAGAGACCGAAGACGCCGAGCGCGGCCATGTGCTCGCTCGACTGCACGGGCTGGAAGCCGACGAAGGAGATCTGCATCGAGAGCGCGGTGCCGAGCACGTAGACGGTCGAGTAGGCGACGTAGATGCGGTGCGAGAAGCGGCCGGTGCACATCAGCACGAGCACGTGCAGCGGGATCAGGTTGATGAGGAACACGTAGCCGCCCCACGACGACACCATGTAGAAGTAGGCGAGCGCGCACGCCGTGCTCCAGAACAGCGAGCCCGTCTTCACCGCCTTGATCCAGAAGTAGTAGGTGAGCAGCATGCAGAAGATCGCGATCCCTGTGCGACGGAGAAAAATCGGAGAGACTCGGTAATGGCCTGAGAATTCTACGAACGTCATTTGCCGGGGGGATGAGCGCAGAACCGGAGAAGACCACAACACGCCATGGTGTATACGCCACGCCAACGTAACCCTCATTTGTTTTGACCATTTAATTAAATAAATGTAAGGATTTTGAACAACTTTCCCGACCGCAGACAATGCTTCACTACACGTTTTCAGGTTTGGATGTATTCGACAAATGGTTATTTTAAGAACCACAATCTCTTTTACTTGCACAGAATTTTCATCAATGTATTTAATGACGATATTGAAACATCGCCCGAAAAATTTGAAGAATTTTCTCAGTCCCTCTCCTCGAGGAAACGTCTACGTCTACATCTTTTCCGCGCCTTTCTTCACACTAACCTTCGTTGTCGTACGATCCCGCCACCGATCGTGAGATGTAGCCGGGAACGATTGAGATCATGGCCGCCGCGACGAGACCAGACCCAGCATCCTTCAGCTCCTTTGTGAGCAGGAATGTTACGATGGTCGTCAGACTGGAGAAGAATGGAGCGAGGAACACGCAAACGTTCCTCACGTCCAGGGTGATGTTCATGTAGTTGAGGGCATTGTAGATGGCAGCAGAGGTCACCATAAGCCCTGTAGCACACGAAAATTTATTTAGTACAACGCCGAGTTTGCTACAATACGGATTGTAATAGGAAAATGGCTTTGAAAAACTTTTAGGAGATATTTTATTGAGAGGTATCTATCATTGGCTATGCGTAATGCAAGTGTGACACAGTCACTATTGCTGATCGATGCCCAGAAGATGTAACAAAGTCATAACACCATTATACATGCATTGAACAATATTGAATTATCACAGTTTTTGGTATTATTTCTCCAACAGGCACTATTCTGCAAAAAAACTATGAGTCTGTCTACAGTCTCTCAAATTTTTGTTACACAGATGCTATTTTTCTCTCCCCTTCGTTATTTGACGAGTTCCATTCAAATTCGTTCGGCCAAAAGGCGACGCTCACCTGGGTAGATCGTTCCCCCGATGATACGCCCGAGCGGATACCACGCCCGGTCGTCGAACCAGTTGTGGAACTTGTAGAAGCCCTCTTCGGCGAGAAAGCGTGTCGTCCGATAGTTGAAGTAGGGATCGAACTCGTGAATGACGCTCTCGAAGCGCAGCACAGAGAACAGGCGCGTCGCAAACGACAAGATGGCGGCGATCGACAGGATGAGCATCTTGATGAGCGTGTCCTGCTTCTCGTACGACATCCGGAAGAACCAGTTCTGGGACTTGTGCGACACCATCGTGGCCGATGAGCTGGTTCACGTTCTATTGTTTATCTGCCAATAAAAAGAAGCCGTACTTGGTTTTATTAAAATATCGGGTGCTTGCGTTATCCTGACTGTGTTACATCTATTTACGACCTTGCATCCTTAAAAACAATCTGCCATGTTGTTGGCAGTACATATGTATAGTAGTATGTACATGTATGCGGTAATCAATACACACGATTCACAAAAGATTTCTGCCATTTTTCAACCAGTCTGTAGTTAGCGTGGCAGATTTTTTAAAGAACGGCTACTTGCTATAGATCTATTATAGTTATTTTTTTATTTTTGTCATGCTTGACCATGTTTCATCACATAGACATTGATGTCAGTCTTGCTTCTCACTTACAGGGTGAGGTGTTGGTTATAGCCTTGACCTTGCATGCTGAAGCCATTTCTATAGTAAGTATTGACTGTATTTGATGAAGAGTACCCAGCATTACGTGGTTATCAGGCACGAAACATTTCCGCTGTTCGGCTGATTTCCGTCCATTTTAGAAATCCAGAGACCATTTCTGAGATCAGTGTTAATTTTTTTTTTTGGGGGGGGGTAAGAATACCTCCGTGGTCTCTGACGATCGCGTACATGTGAACACACTGTGACTCGGTAACTATCCGGAGCGCTCCTACTCGTATCATTGTCTTAATGTATGCTTGCTAACATAATGATAAAAGCAGAGTACGTCGAAGTACAGCAATCAACTGGTATCACTGTTCATTTATCTTATGTAGTGAGCATTGTACAGGCGGGCGGGGACCAATCTAATAAATCGAGCACCAGCTCATACTGGTCCTTGCTCGACTATAACTCCGCTTTGCTAATCTGAGGGTGCGGGTTTATCGTCTGCAGTCACCCTTGTAAAAATTGTTGCAATTTTTGTTGTGGGCATTGGATAGGTGAAACGAGTATCACTGAGGGCGTGACGGGGGTATATCCGACCCAAAATATTAAGTACAGACCTTCTGTTTGTCAATATCGCTTTCCGAAGACTTTATCTCCGTTTCAGAACTTTGTTTTCATGCAATAATTCATCCTAGTAAGAGTAACTTCGATATTTTTGGCCATATTCATTTCGATCGGCAAATGAAATTCACTTCCGGTAGTTTCGGGTTCACTCGGAAATAATTAAGATTAACCGAACCATAGATGGCGCGGACTATATTTGAACATCGGGAATAGCCGAAGTAACCGGAAGTGATTTTTATTGGTTGACAAATGTGAATGAAGACAGACCATTTTCGTATGATGTTTATATTTACCATTAGGTTAACAACTTGGTATATTCTTATGTTGTGGCCGCTACCATGACATCATAGCGTGCATGCACGTAGATAAATGATTCAAGTTCAGATTAAAGTAAGTTCCACGCAATAGGATTGTATATATCGGGCGCATATATTACTTATAAGTGCCACCTCCAAACTGGAGGTGGCTTTCCATGATTGAGATAGACACGGCCGCAGATTACTTGGGTCTGCGTCGGCTCGGACTATTGCGGACTATACAGCATGCAGCTGAAGAATGCGCAGCGGATACATTGTAACGATTGTTCGCGCTACGCACTAAAGTATTATATTTCTATGGTGTATTAGTTTGGCAAACACTGCTTGACGTAACC